TTCGACCTCACTCACAAACCATGACACATGTTCCTCATCCCCAAAACATACAAATAAATAAAAATGTCATTTAAAATTTATAAAAGAATGGGCACTAGTTGTCCAACTATCATCCCATAATTGAGTGAGCATAACAAATATGAGTAGTGTGTCAAGCTGCAGGTTAAGCTTCCTTTCTCTGCTCTTCCCCTTCAGCCTGAGGAATGCCCAGTGCATTAATTACCTATTCCCTCCTTCAGGGGAAGCCATTCCACCCACAGACACACGCAGACCCCTTCCTTACAGTGTCTGCTTGTTCTGAATTGAACTCAGGTCATTGCACACTGCAAGCAAACAATCTAGTGATGAGCTAATCCCAAACCCATGATTTTGTTTTCAGGGACTTTTCATCCACTCTCTATGTGATATTCCCAAGCACATATTCCCAGTTTTCCTGTCCTCTCTGTAACGACACCCTCCATTCAACTGACCCATAACTGGCGGACTGCACACTGCCTGGAGGCGAACTGCCGGCAGCTCTTCCTGTGTATTTTAATACCTGCCCACACCACCCCAGGTTATTCTTCTGCTTCTGTCTTCTCATTTCCTTCATCCATCACAAGTGGTGTTGCATTCCCATCTATGGCCGCTCTCCCCCCGCCCCACCTCCCCCCTCAACCATCACCCTGACTCAGTTTTGCACTGCTGCTCTTCTGGAAGCTTTTCTAACAGTTCCTCTGAACTGAAGCTGCCATTGCTCCCTGGGCAGACTAACCTTAATATGTGAAGTTTGGTGACATCTTCCCACACTTAGATGCTCTCCACTACAAACCCAACAGGCTCCTTAGCCCGACACAGGAGCTGATTTATAATGTGGCCCTAATATTTCCATGTATCCCCTTTCCCCGTTAAACTCTGTTCTAGCTCCTCAACCTTCAACTCAACCACATTGCTTTCATTTCTGGATGTGGCCACATATTCTTTCCTTCAAGTCTCAGTACATATTGGTCCCCAAATCTCTATCAGTTCTACTGCTATGGAATCTTTAAGGTCTTATGAAAAGTCCCCAAATTTTTTCCCAAATTTCTGGCTAATAATTATCTATTCTTTTCTAAAGTTTCCGTGTTTTTTTTTTTTTTTTTTCTAACAGTTCCATGTAACACTGCCTTGGTTATCTATCATACCCTCTTTATGCAACCTGTAAGGCTCTCACAGCCTCTGATTAACCCTTATTCTTCTCATACTGCCTTTCATATAATAAACTAAAAGAATGCTCAAGTTAATATGCATAGTGTATAGAATAAAGATGAAGTTAATTAAAACAAATTCTTTGGAGGCCTTGAAACTAAGCATTTTTCTTTTCGTAGTTTGTGGTGTTAGGATATAGAAATCACTTTAGTTAAAAACGAAGAACAGCATAAATGTCACTGGTTCCTAAAACCGAAGAGTTGGGCCAGGGCCAGACCTCAGGGGTCATAGGGTCATTTAATCCCCCTGTGTCAGCCCCATGGCTGCATACATGTGCAGTCTGAAGCAGTTACCATTTATTTTCTTGTTCATTTGTTTGTTTACTTACTTACTTACTTTTGAGACCAGGATTCACCTAGTATAGGCTGGCCCTGAGCTCACTATATAACCAAGGATGACCTTGAACTCCTGATCCTCCAGCCTCAAACACTGGGATTACAGGCTTGTGAAACACCACACCCAGCTTTCAGTTATTACTTATCAAGAGTACAACGTCACCAATAATCAGGTCATTCTTTACACGGCACCAAGGCCAAAGTCAGGTAGCTCAAAGAGAGTGATGCCTGCTGGGGGGCAAAGCTGAAGCTCAGGCTTTTCTACTATTGTTACAGACATAAGAACTATTACATGGCCCAACTTCTGTCTCTTGCTGTGTCTCCAGATACTAACTATGCCAACTAAATGGAAACACACGAAAAGTTTCAAACCACTGTCCTTAAAACTTAAGAGACATTAAAATGATATGGTACCTTTATCACTAGGAAACTTTGAAGCCTGATCTTATTTGCTAGAAAACTTCTTTTCTAGTATTTACTTCTTAAATATACTCTCAACTGAGAAGTGATTCGTCTGGCCACAATCAGCAAGTATACTGACTCCCTCAGATTGGGTGGGTACACGTCTAGGTAAGGCATGATTTTACGCTGAGGATTTCCAAGCAACAGGCAGATAATGTCAGTGGGAGGAGCAATTCCTCTTCACCTGCTGGTACTTGGCCTAACCAAGGGGCTTCCAACACCATAAACTCCAGATTCTTGGTTCTAATCCCAGCTCTGAATCTTGAGTGAAGCACTTCACTGTCTTAGTCTCACCAGAGAGGGGCCTGGGGAAAAGAAAGAATGTAGCCCACAACTTCAGGATCTCTTGTACTCTAAAATGTCCCTTCTCTGAGCTCAGTGGAAGTTACACTTCCAGAAGTGACCAGTTACTGTGGCGGAAGGAGAAAGGCAGATGGCCACTCCTCTTTTGCAGTGGACTGTGGAAAAACTGAACGCTGATGACACTCAAGACTAAGGCTGAGTAATACGCCTCGAGGTTTATTTTTCACAATAATATACTTTCTCAAGGTAGTCTCCGCATACCACATCCAGATCGTTCTTCCACACTATTACGGACATAGAGCAACATTCTATCGATATTCTTCTGATATTCTATCGAGATGTTTTAAAGGATAAACTTAAGTAATACCTTTCAGCTTCTGTTCTGTGGCCTTACCAACATTAACAACAAATTGGAGTTAGGGCCTTTGACCAAGGGAGGTGGGGGGAAGCTTTGGGTTTGTTTAAATTAAGACCACGTGAAGTTACTATGGACAGTCTTTACCACCACTGTGTATGAGTTTGGTTTTCAGGGAGGAAGAAAGAGGAATGGAGAAATATCAGAGTTCAAATGAGAAGAAACATAAAGACCAGTGACACTAACCTTTGCTGGTTTCACTTTGGTCTCCCCCCCATTTTCTTTTTAACTAGTGCCTATGTTTTTAATGACTCACTTACTTGGTAATGCCCTGTAGCCCCAAAGCTCCACATCCTTCTTCATACTAAGCATCTTAAGAGAAGATGCTTAAAGGTTTGTTATCTTTTGTCCTTAACAGCAGGCATGATAAAAGCAATCCACGATGAGAAAAATTACAACAGTAAAGAGGAAGTCAGAACTGTACCCTATTGTCCGCCAAAGGCAATGAATTGTGATTGTCAAAGACGGTCCTGCCAAGAATCAGGAAAATAGTTTATTCATTCAGTACATGAACAAACATAGGGTGCCCCAAATAGATATATAAGGCTTTTGTTGCTTCTAGTAAATAAATGAGTAAGCAGGGAAAGCCCTCCGCTCTCTAGGGGGAGAGGGGACCCACAGAACGCCTCAACAGAACATTATCAGCGTTCAGGAGCTATGAAGAAAATAGAAGGATGATGGAGAAGTTTGGGGGTAGGGCTGAGAACTAGGAAAGTATGGTAGTCAAGAGTATTTGTGGGGCCGTGGCACTGGAGGTGTGCCTCGGATGAGGAGAAAGCTTTGCTCTGTCGTCCTTCAAACGTGGGGCGGAGCAGGGATGAGTCGAGAACCGTGACTGTACGAAACATTCTGTATTCATGAATGAAAAACTAGATGGCCTTTAAAAACTTAAGAAAGAAAAAAGCCAATCTTTTATATCATCTACTTAAAGGAGCGATTGTTTAAGATCAATGTACTTTTTTAAAGACTCTGCTAATTACTTGGAAACTACTGAAGCAGACGCAATCACCAGAATTCCTCCCAAGCTGCAGACTCCCTTCACTTGACACCATTCAAATTCTGAATGAGACTGGACCCGGCCCTGCAGCGAATCAGCGCCTCCTCTGCCTCATTAACACAGCCAGGTGGAATCTTGTTACCCTTCCAGAAAACCCGAAACAAGGCTGGGGAAGGTGGGGGCGCCCTACACCCTGAAAGTTACTGTGGCAGGTTTAAGACAGAGCCCCGAGCCCGCCGCCCTCTCGCATTAACTCCCCCCCCCCGCCCCTCCAGGCGTCATCACTTGCAGAAGGGCCGCTCTCCGGGGTCGGAGGCCCACGGCGAGTACGCGCGCGCGTGGGGAGCCCGCGTGAATCATCGGAGCGCGGTCCACCGGGCCGATGATTCATTCACGGCTCCGGGGCTCGGCGGCCACACGTTCCCGGCGTACTAGGACGGCCGCGCACGCAGCTTCCTTAATATTAAACAAATGTTTCAAAGTCCAGACGCCCGCAGCCAGAAACGCCCAGAGCCGGGCGAGGTGGCGGGGAGCGAGCGCCCCGGGGCGGGCGGGGGGCGCGGGAGACGGGGGTCGCTCCCACCCGACCCCCCGGGGCGCGCGGTGGCGCACAGGTGGGTCCCCGCCGCCCCTGCAGCCGCGCTCTCGCTCGCCCCTCCGCTCCCGGTGGCATCTTATATAATAGCCCGAGCCGATCCAAACGGAAGCGGGGCGCGCGCCGCCGGGGCCGCGGGGCAGAGGTGCTTACGCCCGGAGCCCCCGGGGGTCCCCACGCGGCTCCCAAGAGAAGGGGGGAAAGACCCGAGCGTCCTCCCCGCGCGCCCCCCCCCCCCCCCCCGCGAAGGCGCTCGGTCGTGGCCGGTCCCCTTCAGGAAGCCGCGAGCGTCACCAACTGCGTCAGCTTCTTCAAACCCAGTGCCCTGTCTCTCTCTCCAGCCCGGGAGCCGCCGACGCGGGGCCAGGGCCGCGGGCCGCGCTGGCAGGCGCGCCCGGGCGGGAGGAGAAAGTTCCCGGGGACCCTCCGCTCGCCCGCTCGGCCCAGCCGCGCCGCCCGCGCCCGCGCCCCGGCGTGGGCAACTTGGGGACCCCCGGCTGCGCGCGACCCCTGCCGCCCGCCTGCCGAGCTCGCGCGGTGCCCGCGGAGGGGGGCTCTCGCCCCGGGGGCCCGGCGGAAGAACGGCCGCGCTGAAACAGAAAAAAACAAAAACAAAAAAACTTCCTAAAGCCGGGGAGCCGCCGGGGTCCCCAGCATCGCTCTTACCTAGCTCCCGGGAGGCCACGTTCCGGGCGGGCCGCGCGGGGCGCGTGGTGCGCGAGCGCGCGCGCGTGGGGCGGTAGGTGAGCGGCCCGCGCGGGCGGGGGCGGAGCGGGACCGGGTGGCGGGGCGCGGGGCGGGGAGGGTGGGGGGGGGGGCCGGGGGGCCCCGGGGGGGGGGGGGGGGGGGGGGGGGGGGGGGGGGAAAAGGACGACGGCCGCGGAGCCCGCGGTGACGGCGGCGGCGGCGGCGGAGGCGACGGCGATGGGCGCGGGGCGAGCGCGCCAAGGGGGCGGAGGAGTTGCCAGAGGGTTTGTTTACGCATTGCTGCCCGGCTCGGGGCACAGCCCGCACTCCCTGATTGGACACAAACTGGGGCACAGCCTCCCGCCGCCCGCCCGCCAGGCCTTCTGGAGCAGCCGCGGCAGCCGCCGCGTAGCTCCCGGAGCGCCTGCCGGGCACAGCCCGCCGCGGGTGCCCGGGGCCTGGAGGGGGACCGTCGGGGCAGCCGGCGGGGTGGGCGTGGAGCGGAGGCGGGCTCCCCAGGCTCGGAGTGGCCCCACCTGTAGTGGGGCGACCTTGGCAAGGAGAAACTTGCAACTTCTCTGGCTGGGAGGCCGCTTCTGCTCCGGAGGCTGAGGAGATACCCCACTCTGTCCCCTCCACCCCCGCCCCCACCAGGAAGCTTGCCCTTGAGCCATAGAGAAGCGGCTAGGATACCAGTGTGTCATTGGTGGAGTCCAGGCTCCTGGTGGAAGCTGGCCGCGGGCGCTCCGGGTTCCTTTCTGCCTCTGGCTTCCCTGCTTTTAATCTCGGTTCTTCCACGTGACATTCAAAAGTTGTCCTCCCAGGAGCGACCTCGTCGCCCAGATGCTGAGCATCCCTCTGAGGACTTCGCAGGGTCCCCGCTTCCTTCACAGCAGGACCTCCACCCATCTTCAGCCTCCTCTCTAGGCTGTCACCTCAGACCCCGAGGCGCTTTGGCAGATTTGCATTCCCTGGATCCTGTTCAGTTCTCTGCCAGAAAGCACTAGAATTTCCTCTACCTGTCCAGGTGACCCCAGCCTCGGCTCCCCTCCTTCCTCCTGCCATTTTTTGTTGTAGCCTTCTGGACTCGCGGTCGACTAACGTCAGTCTGACAAGGGTAGGTAGCCGTGTACCTTCCCTGTGCAATGCCCGCCTCTCCTCCCATTCTGTAGATTTCTCGAGGAAAGTGGCCCGGTTTCAGCAGGGCTCAGACACACTGGGAGAAATGAAACTGAAAACAGGCCTGTGTTGTGTCAGTGTCTACCATTCCGCTGGGCCCAGAGAACTTTGAATCTCTGAAGAACTGCGGAGAGCATAAACCCCATCTCGGCAGAAGGAAACTCTTCAAAACCCAAGCATGTTCCCCATATTTCCTGTCTCAATTCACTCCCCACCCCTTACTATGTGCCTCTATATACTTACAGTCAGCCCTGGGTAGGGTGTGACTGAGTTCTGCAGAAATGTTGCCTATGCCAAGGCCCATCGTGGCCAAAGCGAATAAAGTAAAGCATAAAGCGACAGACACAAATTCAGTCATTTCACAGATGAACGGAGATAGTAAGAGCCCTTCAGTCCCGATAGTGCAGGTGGAGTCTGTGCTGATCAAACGCTGCTTCAAGTCCATCATGGGGTAGACCCTGGTCCTTCCGGACTCCTGGGTTGGCTCGACTTCCTTCTCTAGGTATGGGGAAACATGGAGGAGCGGCAAGTGAACCGTTTCTTTCTCAGGTAATTCAGATAAGTTACAAACACTGCAAGAACTACAGTTGCAGCCAGGGGCAGGGTAAGGCCATCCTGAGACTAGAGGCCTATTGAAGCAACTCCTCCCCTTGGGCTGGCTGGGAAAGGGAGACTTCCAGAGCAGTGGGGTAGAAATCCTGGAGTGGAGCTTCTCCTGGAGATGTCTTGAAAGCAAAGGCTCCCTTCCTCCCACCATTCCTTCTCAGCCTCCCCAGTCACCACTCCCATGTGACAAAGGGCTAGCACATGACAGGTGTTAGGGAAAGGAGAAGGAAGCTGAGAGCAGAGCGGTAAGTGACAAGCCTGGCGGGCTTGGGTGCAGCAGTGTGGACAAACATCCTTCTCCCCCTCCCCAGCCCTGGCACTTTGCCCTCCCCCATGTATCTTTTCTTTCATCATCCTTCTAGCCTTCCCTTTGCCGCCATGACTTCCTTAGTCGGTCCTCTTCTCTTTCTTGCTTTTCTCTTTGTGTTTCCTTCCTATCTCCCCCGGACTCTCCTTCTCTGAGTTCTTGTCAGTCATACCTACCCTGGGTCAGCCATAGGTTTTGGTATGAAATGGCATGCCCTCCTTCCCATTGAGACATTCGGATTAGCCCCCACCATGCTGTGACCCTTCCAGGGCTAGACAGCTGTCTATGCTAGCTTACACAGTCTTCACCGCACTCTCATTGGTTGAGCACCACTGGGTGTGATTCAGTGGCTTGCGTATCCGCTTTTTCGACGGAGACTTTGTTTAGGCAGGTCACTGATGACACTGCTGACAATCCTCTCACTGTTCAGGTTAGGGTTTCTCTCAGCACTTTCTTTCTTTTTTTTTTTTTCACTTATTTATTACAATTTATTCACTTTGTATCCCAGCTGTAGCCCCCTCCCTCATCCCTTCCCAATCCTGCCCTCCCTCTTCTACTCCCATACTCTTCCCCAGTGTACTGATAGGGGAGGACCTCCTCCGCTTCCCTCTGACGCTAGCCTATCAGTTCTCATCAGGACCAGCTGCATTGTCTTCCTCTGTGGCCTGGTAAGGCTGTTCCCCACCTCAGGGGGAGGGGATCAAAGAGCCAGCCACTGAGTTCATGACAGAGACAGCCACTGTTCCCCTTACTAGAGAACCTACTTGGAGACTGAGCTGCCATGGGCTACATCTGTGCAGGGGTTCTAGGTTATTTCCATGCATCATCCTTGGTTGGAGCATCAGTCTCAGAAAAGACCCTCATAACTTTTTTATCCTATGTGTTTTCCTCTCATTATCAGAAATGCCTCCCCAAACTCCAACAGTCCTGTACATTATTTTAAATCTCCAACTGGAGAAAGTAGCATTTTATCTAGTTTTTGAAGGGTGAATAAGATTAAAGAGCCAGAAGTTGATTAAGGAAGAGTATTTTTGGTGAAACAGTAAATAATATGATACAACTTGGCTGAAATGTGATGGGAGGCTAACAGAGCATGTTTCAGAAATTTATCTTTATATCACAGCTCCCTGAAACAGTGTGTGCAGAAACACAGATTGAATCCTAAACATATATATAGCCCATATTATTCAAACCACTGTTTTAAGGCCACAGGAAAGTACTAACACTGTCTAACCCAAATTTGTTTTAAAGCAGAACTATGGCCAAAAGGTGATTGAACATGGCAATTAAAAGCTAGCCATATTTAAACCCCTTCTTTGATAAATGACCTTGAACATGAGGTTAAGTTCCTTCCTCAGAATAGTAGGGAAAATCATATCATTTACTTAAGTGGCTTTTGTGAAAATTAAATATCATGTATAAAACACTCTATAGTCTATTTTGGATGACAAAAATAGCCATAGAGTAAGTAGCTTAACCAACACACATCTGTTTGTCACAGTTTTAGAGGAGGAAGTCTGAAACCAGGGTGCTCTTGTGGCCAGAGATCTGTGAGAATACCCTTCCTTTCAGCTGTGCAAACCGTCAGCTCCCTGCATCCTGGCAGTGGAAAGAGTGTGGGTGACAGAGCTCTGTTAGGATACTTTTCGTGGGGGCCCCATCCCATTCATGTGAACCCCACCGTTAACAACTAACCTTCTTCCAAAAGCCTCACCTTCAATGCCATCATATTGGGGATTAGAATTTCAACAGATGAAGTCTGAGGATTCAGTGATACTGCCATCAGTATGGAGCACAGTGCCTGGGAGGAAAGACTCAGCAAATATAGGTGCACATTAGCATGCTTCTCATGCCAACAAGCTAGAAGATACCAGGACTAGAATGAGCCTCTCAGGCCTTCAAAGCCCTGGTTGAGCATTGCTGATGCTGGGAGTTGTGGCGGATAGCACCTGTCTGATGCCATCTGTGCACAGAGCACTCCACTAGTTCTCTGTTAAAAGAAGGTCTCAGGCAAGTGTGCTGGCACACACCTTTAATTCCGGCACTTGGAAGGCAGAGGCAGGTGAACCTCTGTGAGTTCGAGGACAGCCTGGTCTACAAGGTGAGTTACAGGACAGCCAGAGCCATGTAGTGACACATTATCTCAAACAAAACAAAAACATAAACGAAACAACACCCCTCCACCATCACATACACACACAAAAGGCTCAGTTGTATTTCTAGTTACAATTCCTTTCTGTTCCTCATCAGCCCTGGCTGCCCTGGCATACTGTAAAATTTGAGGACATGAGAAGCATAGAAATTAGTTACAGACATTTCATCATCAACAATATAGTTTCCAAATTCTGGTGTAATAGAACTTGATGGATTTAAATTTCAGAAAACTCGAAGTAATTGACTTAGCGGTGTTTGGGCTGTTGGACTCCTTAGCCCCTGTAGTATCACGTCCACCAGCTTAGAAGAAAGGTCCTTAGCAGATTCGCTTGGGCCATGAAAAGCCCTCAGACTATCCAGTCTGTTAGGAGGTCTTTCTTTTCCTTTCTCAGCCCATGGTCCTACTGATCAGAACATCCGTAGCCCCATGAGTGCTATAGAGCCTACTCTCAGGACATAAGCATCTTGAGACAATGAACCAATTGACCTTTTAGCTCAAGAACCTAGCACAGTCTCGGGAGTAAGACATGCCACAGGCTTAGGCAGTGGCACACACTGAAGGCGTCACTCTTTCTCCCACCCCTTCAGAACATGGTCTTCTGGGTGACTCATGGCTAGATTGCGCCCCATGCCACTAATTCATCAGAAAGTGCGGCAGCTGCTGAGTGTGGCGTAAGGAACATTTAAATAAATTAATTTTAATCTTATAAACCCAAGCAATATTTTAAGAGGGTTGGGAAGACATTTTTTGAGCCATTGGATTTTCCCTAACACCTTCAATCCACACAATACAAACTAAACCTTATCCTACAAGTAAAAGCTACTTGACTAACACTGTTACACGCT